TGCTCTTCTGACAGTGAATCAAGCTTTGATGTCAACCACAGCCCTGGCCGGCGCACCAAGTGGTGTCACTTTACAGAGGCCGCGACAGGAAAGTAGCCAGACTGAGGTCACGTAGCAAGAGGACTTTGCACCCCGGGGGTGGGGGGGGGGTGGGCAAACGGCCGCCAGAGCCAAGGACGGAGGCGGTGACTGTACCTCGTTTTCCCGTTTTCTCGGGGCGCCCCGAGTGCAAGTGATCACGGGCAGGTGGTGGGGGGCTCGGGCTGCCGTGGAGTAAGCCCCGCCCCTGGAAAACGTGAGATACCCAACCTCCCGGCTCAGCTCTGCCACGACCCTTATGTGTGACTTCACCACACAACAGGGGCTCCGATGCCCCCATCGGGTCCCCTCACTCAGCCTTTCCTGAGCCTGTGGCAGAGTCACTAATATCTAGAAAAGCGTGCGCTGGGGCAGCTGGACAACAGAGGAAAGTTGCCCTTCGCTACCCAGCAGCCTCTGTGGCCCCCTCACTCACAGGTGGGAAGCAGCAGCTTTTATGAAGAGCATGGAAGGGGAGGAACAGACACGAGCCCTGCCTTCGATCTTGCGGGTATCGACGCAGTAAACTAAGCTCGTTTTCAGCAGACCTGGTTTCCAGTCCCCCAGCTTCCAGCGCTACCTTCTCTTTCTGAGCCTTGTTCCTTTGTCCCCCCGGAGGGGATACGTCTTTCTGGTTGTGTTGGGAGCCCACCCCCACGCCCCTGGGGTTCAGAGATGCGAGAGCCAGGGTCTGCCCTCGGGCAGCTCAAGTCCCAGCCAGGAGACAGCTGGGTAAAGAGATGAGTTACAGTACAGCCGGGCAGGCGCCGTGACAGAGAATGAGGATAAAGCGCCTTTGCAGGGGGGCCGGGGGGGGGGGGAAGGGCACCGGTGGACAGAGCAGCTGACAGCTGGACGCGTGCGGAGGAGGTGGCTTCTAAGCTGGGCCCTGGAGGATGGACAGGGATTTGTTGACAAGAGAAGATGGGGAGGACAGGGGCCGCAGCAGGCACGGAATCTCAAAGGCAGGACAGGCTCCTTGTGTCTGTGATGCTGAGTGGGATGGGCGGGCAAGGTTGTCTACATGTGATTTGCGGGGGCAGCTGGGGCGCAGGGAGGTGAGGCTGAGAGGCTGACGAGGGGGTGTGGCAGTGGCGGATGGGAGATATTGTACCGCAAGGGTTAAGGGCTTGAGTTCCGGAGTACCGTTGACCAGACTGTACCTACTGGCTTATTAGCTGTGTGACCTTGGGCAAGCTACCTAATCTCTCTGAGCCTTCAGTTTCCAAATCTGTAAAGTGAGTATGCGAAGGGTACCTGCCTGGCACAGAGTCTACTAATTGCCTGCCCAATGTCCATTTTCTCCTTCTTCCTTGGTAACAGAACACTGGTTGTATTTGCAGTGGCAACAGACCACATTTCCCAGCTTTCCATGCAGATGGGTGTGGTCTTGTAACTAACTTCTGGCCAATGAGATGCAAAGGAAACTGTTGGGTGGGATTTCTGCGACTCCTTAAAAGAGAGCTTTCCTCTCTTCTTCCTGCTTCCTGTTGGGAACGTGGACCAGATGGCTGGAGCTCTAGCAGCCATCCTGGACCATGAGTCAACTTTGAGGACTCATGCCAACATTGGCATGAAGGAGGCTGCATTCTCGGTGACCGTGGGTTCCCCACACCAGCTCTGGACTCCCTAGCTCTGAACTTCCTTTGCGTCAGAGAAAAAGAGGACACTGAATGCCTTCAATCTCAGGGAGATTTCGAGAATTCCACGCAGTGATCCAGGCGAATGCCCATCCTAACTGGTAGCTATCACCACTACCTTTATCCTCATGGCTGCATCAGCCTGCCTGCTGCTCCCATCCTGAGGGATTGCGCCTATCCCAAAGGCCCTTTATCCCCCAGATCTCAATGCTCACCTCTTGCCACACCCCTCCTCCCACTGGTTATAAAGGCAGTTCAGGCTCTCCCCTGCCCACCCAACTCCTCCGCCCCTCACAGGAGGTTCAAACCAACTTCTCTTGCCTAGGACACCCGAGGCCTCTCCTTCTTCATCTGTAAAGATGCTGGAAACCAGTATCACCAGACTGTTGGCCACCCCCAGCCCAGGATCGAGCCCCCGCTCCTGTACTCCTGCTTCACGACTCCTGCCCACATCAGGCTCCAGATGGCACAGGGGTTAGGCGCTGAGGGCCTGGGGGGAGTAGAGCCCTAGTTTGAATCCTGTGGGCAGCTATTGCCTTCCCTGTGCCTCAGTTTTCTCATCTGCCCAGTGGGTGTGATAATGGTACCTCCCCGTGGTGGGGGGAGTGCAAGTGGTGCCCCCAATATCCAATCTCCCTTACTTCCCCGGACGACATACCGATCTGGGGGAGAAATGGGTTTCCTCTCAGTGACCGCAGGGGTGACAGCCCGTCTTACAGATGAGGAAACTGGGGCTCAAAGAGGAATGACGTGGGTCACCCACAAGTCAGTGGCCGAGCTGGGACTCGAACCCCAAATCCCAGCCCTTCGAGGCCTCCCCTTCCACCCTCCCACCCGCCCCTGCCCTGCCTCCCACCTCCAGGTACTTGACGGGGATCTTGTGCTTGGTGGCATGTGACTGGGCCAGGGGCTTCAGCTCCGCCTCGTGCTGGCCCTTCTTCTTGAGGATGCCCCCGAGGGCAGTGAGCACCGTGTTGCCATGCTTCTTCAGGTCCTCGGAGCCCTTCATTTCATCCTCTGTCTTCAGGTGCTTGAACTTTTCGAACTTCTCCAGGGTCTCCGGGTGGCCCTTGAAGAGGCTGCGGGCACAAGGGGGGCTGGAGTCAGACACAGGGGCTGGAGGTGGTGAGACACACGAGTTCCAGTCCCGGCTCCGCTATTTCCCAGCTGCGTGACGTCGGGCCATTCGCTTTACCTCTCTCTGTGCTTCTGCTTCCTCATCCAAGCGTAGAAGATAACCGGTGCCTACCTAGAGCAGCGCTGTGGGGGCTCGGTGGGCTGTGTAAAGGCTTGCCTTGCTTATTTCGGGTCAGTAGCATCTGCCTCTTCATTGCTACTCCAGAGGTAGGAAGGAAAGATGTGCCTGCCTCGCTCCCTGGCTCCACCCGATTTTCTCTGAGTCGCCTGGAGAGTAGGTGATTAAATCGCATCACGCGTACGAGGCAGAAGGGCCAAGTGGAAGCGGGTCTGCGTGACTCAAGACGTCGACCGCGCAGGGGACCGTCTCTGCAAGCTTCCTGCCTACGGATCATCCTTTGGCTGCTTAAATACTTGCAGCTACAGGAGACTCACTACGTCCTGTGTTAGCTCTCAGGCTCAGGAAGTCCTTGCTTATTTTGCTCAGACGCCCTGTACCTCCCAGGACCCTCAGATGGTGAGGCCCAGGGAGGGAGCCACCTGCCAAAGACCAGGTCTCCGCTCCTGCCAGGGAGCTGGGGAGCTTAGCTGCAGAGGGACTCTGCCCTGAGCCACACCTGTAGCCCTGGAGCTCGGTCTTTTCTCTTCTGGAAAGTTGGGTGTCGGTTAAAGGGAGTCATACCTGCCGCCTCGGTGGGAGGTGGCTGTCCCCGTTCCACTGTGGGCCAATGGAGCACAGAGGCAAGTGACATGAGTCGGTGGCAAAGCCCGAACCAGAGATCGGATGGTTCTATAAGTCATGCGCCCTCTCTCTCTCTCTCTCTCCCTGTCATACCCTGAAATGTTTGCAGGAGTGGCCCTGTCTCCCCAGCCTTCCCCCCCTCCTGTCTAATGGCTTCGGGTCCCTGCAACGTTCCTCTTTTTGTAGCTTCCTGGCTCAGCCACTCGCTTCTTCAGCCCTGCGGTGGACACACTCCGGTGTGTGAAAGCATCTCACAGCACACACCCATACTCACGTGCATGCACACACGTGTGCACCAAGTAGCACAAACAGGCAGCACACCCTTCTCCCGGGAGCCCGTCCCTCCTGCAGCCCCCAGAACACCCAGGGCGATCCACAGCCATGCCCCACGTCCCCATCTCACCCCCCCGTCCTGGCCCGGCCAAGCCTGTGTGGCCGGGACAGCTCATCCCTGGCACTTTTCACCCAAGGGTCCTATTATTATCTGGTGACAATGATCCTTGAACTCCTGCCTGGCAGAGGTGAGACCTAGCACCCACAGGTGAAGGTCGGAGATCGGGACGCTGGAGGGAGCCTATCTGGGGCAGAAGAGGGCCAAGGACCTGGTACCCAAGGCAACCAGGGATCTCAGATATTTGGGGAGCCCCCAAGATGTCTGGGAGAAAGAATGTGGGGATGAGAATTATGAAAGCTGAGCTCTGGTCCCAGGTCCACCTCCAACGTGCTGTGTGACATTGAAAAAGTCACTCAGCTTCTCTGGGTCCTGGTTCAGCCATCCATAAACCAAAAGGGTTGGTCTGGCTGATATTTCAGCCTCCAGCTGTAAGGCTGGACCCCTGCCTCACCTTCCACTCTGTGCCAGCCAGCCCGCGAGCGAGCCCAGATTTACCTTCAACGGTGCAGGAAAACCAGGCCAATGAGTGCCCACCAGATCATTCTGGCATCACTCAGCCGCTTCCCTCCCTTGGCCCAAAGTCCTGCAGCTGGGAGCCCCAGGCAGCCACAGAAGGCCATACCTGGATTTGCCTAAGGGCAGCACCCCGGGAAATGGACAGACGAAGCCCGTCAGCCCGTGAAAAAGGATGGACAGACTTTCCCTCCTGTTTCGGGAGCCCTCACTTGCCTTGCGTCTTCAGCTTCAATCCTACGTCCACCTGCTTCGCTTTTCGCAGGCCTGCAGGCAAGTCAGCGAGGAAGGAGGCCACCTCCCAGCTGTCCTCTGAACGGAGGCCCAATCGGACACCCACACGGGAGATGGAGACTCCGACCTGCGGAATGCCTTCCCTGCTCTAGGCAGAAGGACCGGGCTGGGCAGGGCAACCCCGCTCTGATGTGCCAAGAGCAGAGCGCTCCAGAGCAGCCGTGCTGGGTGCAAGCCGCCTGGATGTGAGTTCCCGCTGTGCGACTTGGGGCAAGTTACTTAACCTCTCTGTTAAGGGTGGTGATCCTAATATCTACCTCATCGGGTGCTTGGGAGGCTGAGTTAATATACGGGAAGCGGCGAGCCCGGGGGCCGGGGGTATCCTTCCCGACTTGCAGCAAAGCCCTCAGTGTTTTGTTAACAGGCTCCGCTGAACAGAATATGCCGTCTTTTACAAGAGGAGTAGGAGAAGTGACCTTGCCAAGGTCAGTAAGAAAGCCCAGGCTCAGCCTCTGGAACAGAATCAAGTGGCCAGCTCCCACAGAGGCAGGTGCAGCTCTGGGGGTTAGCACCCCCTCCCTTCCCTCTACACGCAGGGAGGCCCTCCTCCCCGGACCCCGCACAGTAAGAGGGCAGAACCCGTTGGCATGGTCTCTGCGTGTCCCACAGCCTAAGACGTGACGGGGCATTGGGCTTTCTGGGACCTTTCAGGGGCCAGGAGTCCCAGGCATCACATCCCATCCCATCCCCGGCCCCTGGCCCTTGGTAGGTGTCCCTGATCCACTCTGGAGAGGGAGGGAAGGTTTCCCCTGATGACACAATACCCCAAGTCTCCTTCAAGTCGCTGCCTTGGGGGCTCATGGCCCCCAGATCACCTTGGAGAGACTTGTGCTTTGCAAACTGGTCTCCAGCCCCAACTACCCTGCCTCCTCTCCAAAAGCGAGGGAGGAGGATGGGCCCAGGGAGTGCACGAGAGCAGAGAGGGACCTCAGAGACCCTGGCAGACAATCGCTTCGTTCAACCCATAGGCAAGCAAGAGGAGTGAGTCACTCAGAGAGGAGGAGTGACTCATCCAAGGTCACACAGCACAGGTGCCTAAGGAGCTGATGTCAACTTGGGGGAAACTTTTGTCCCATCCAACAGGACCTGTTGCAGCCCCAGCGGCCTGCTGGCAGGGACAGGAGGAGAAAGACACAGGGAACCCCCCCCATGATGCCAGTCGGAGTAAACAGAGAACGTGACCATCCTTCCCCAAGTGTTTCTAGCGTGGACGACTCAGGGCTCAGACTTCGGATCACGGATCCAGACATGGGAGCCGGATAGAAGTGCAGCCCAAGGAGACCAAAAAGGCATCTGAGTGGGAGAGGGAAACCTGGCTCGTGACGAAGGAGAAACTCGTCTGTAAATGAAGGCGTGAAGGACGATCCATTCACTCGTGGCCACCCCCGGGGCCACTTTCTCCCAGGTGCAGAAATGCGGATTTATACCCCGTTAGATATTTGACTTGCGCTGGCCCAGAGCATGAGAGAAGGTACCTGGAGAAGAGGGGTCTCACACCGTCTGGGGTGGAAGGCAATGAGAAAATAAAATTCTGTTTACAAGCCACACACCATCCTTTATTTACAACGCTTGGAATTTTGTTTTCTTTTGTTTGTTCAGGAACCCCTGCAGTCAAGATGTGCTTGGAGACCACACTATTCAGAGCTCTCAAATTCAAGACTTCCTCAACATCAAAAGTCCCTAATGGGCCTCCGTCTTCTATTTTCTAATTATAATACTTCGCAGGTCCTTAAGCTAGCTCCATCCGTAACAATTACTAACATCTTCTAGAACCTGCCATGTTCCAGGAACAGCACCAGGCCCCTTACATGCATTATCTTATTTAACTCTCACTTCTACTTTAAAGGGTAGCACGGAACACCCCCGCCCATTGTATAGGAGAGGAAACTGAGCCTCAGAGAGGTTGTGTGCCTTCCCAAAGGTCACACAGCGGTTCGGAAGCCGAGCCAGCTCTAGAGCCTGTGGGTCTTTATCTTGAAGGCCATGTCTCAGTCTTGACAGTTTATAGACCTTTACGGATTTGTGGCGCGGGGAGGTCCTGCCCCTCTCAGGTCCTGTTTGTCCTCGTCCATTTAGTGAAGCGTCTGGACGGGATCTCTCAGGGCCCTTGTTAACTATGACTGCCTACGATTCTAGGATTCCTCTTGGTGGGCGCTAGGCATCCAGGGTTTGATCACCAGGCTTCTCCCACTGCTGGCACAGGCCCGGGATGGATCTCTTTTCCTTTCTGGACACCAGTCCCTGACACTTACAAGCAAAGGAAAACCAAGTGAAGGTGTTAACAAAGTCGACCGACACAGCCAACTGGTCAACCCTGGGCAACGATTCCGCCTTGCAGGCACGCACCCTTGATCTTTGGGGAGTGGGTGACAGAGGCAATGGGGTCTCTTCCTTTTACCTGATGAGGACCTCCTGCCCGTGGCCCGCGAGGTCGGTCTCCACCTTCCCCCAGACGTTCAGCACCAGCTGCCACTCTCCTTCGCTGAGCCCCATGGCGCAGTCTGAGGAAGACAGAAAGAGGGAGTCCGGGCCGACTCGGTGTCCTGGCTCTGACAGCCGGGGTTTGAGACCGCCCGGCCCCAAAGGGATTTTATACCTTCCCTGAAGCTCGACACAGATCACTTGACGGCTCGTTCACTCTCCCCTCCTCTCCCTCCTCCCTCCTTTTCATGAGGGGTCTAATCTTTTCCTTTCTGTAGCTCTCACATGGGAGCTATTTTGGGGCAGGTGCCATTGTGGGGAGGTAGGACAGCTCAGGCCACAGGGGCGCGGGGGTGTTTGTGTATGTGGCAAGAGCAGGGGAGGAGGCTGGGCCGCTGTGTGGAGTCTCAGAGGCCAGCAGAAAGGGCACCACCAAGGCCGACGCCAGCAGCCTGAAACTCAACTCTCCCCGTTGTCAACCATCCCAAGGAAACTGTCATGTTTCCAAGCTCGGGCAGCGGCTCCTGGGCTGGCCCTGGGACTGTCCTGGTCCTTAGCAGTCTCCTTGTCCACAGTCTGCCCATGTTGCCGGAGAGCCCCTACTCAGCCAGAAGCGGGGGGGGGGGGGGGG